AGATCATGCTTCTCCCTCCTCCTGGGAGAGACCCCCCTTTGGAAATGCAGGGTGTGTTCTCTTGCTGGGATGTGCTTCCCCTCCCCTTTCTGCAGGCTTGACTTCCTCATCCATATCTGTCCCTCCCCCCAGCTTTTCCCAATCTGCCTGGTCTAGTACCCCTGATTAGAGCAGATATGCAGGTCCAACCTCCTCCTCTCTACTCTGGGGGTCCCCCGTGGCTACCAGGGCAAGGCTTCCCTGCCCTCCTCACCACAAGTCCCTCCTAGAGCCCTCTTTGCAGCAGTGTTCCCCCTCCTCCCATCAGAATGTTTCCATGAGTTTGATACCTTCTAAGTGCCTAAGGTCTCCCTTTGGAGGAAGTGCCTGCTGATTTCTGCCTGGCCTCTCTTCAGACACTGGCCACAGCTTAGAGAAGGCAGTAGGGGCCTTCACCCCATTGTCTCAGTGGGTGAGAATGGGTCCACCAGAAGTTGGTGTGGGGCGGGTCTATCTTTCCAGGAAGATCAGAGCAGCATCTAGGCCTGCACAGGCCCTGAACTCTCTGCCTCCTGTCTCCTATCTTCTGCCTGTGCTGGATACCTCCTAGAATTATCCTCAGCCACCGGAGCCAACTGACACTCTCCTGATGTTGGCTGTGAGATGGCTTTGCTCTTGTGCTGTCTTGCCTGGTCAGCTGACTGTCCTCTGTAGACAGAAAAGGTGGGCACTCCTTTCTTCACCAGAGGAGAAGGGGGAGCCATGTACCTGTATGAACTATGCGGAAGAGAGACAAGAGCCTTCTGTCCCTGAAGGAATCTAGCATGACACTTCAGCCCTGTGTGTGCTGCCTTTTCAGTCAGGGCTTCTCCAGACCCTTGGACTCCACAGACCCTCTTTTTTCTTGGGAAATTAGAATAAGGGGTTATATTAATTAGGATAGAAGCTAGGCTGCGAGAACAGAGAGACTCCAAAATACAATGACTTAGACAAGAAATGTGTTTTCTCTCCCAAAACAACCCAGAGGCAGTAGCCCAGGGGTCTGAGTGTGGCTCAGGGATCCTCTGTGTGATGCCTTTGTCTCTGGTCATCCCCCAGCCAGCAGGAAGGAGGAAGAGGCCAGGGGAGCCCACATCCCTTTCTCCCTTGGGAGCATCACTTGAAGAACACGTCACTTTTGATCACATCCCTGTGGCAGGAGCACAGCCACACTGAGCTGCAAGCTGGCTGCCAAGTGCAGACTCCAATGGGCGTCCGGTTACTTAGCTAATAGACAGGAGTCATGTTTTCTAAGTAGGGGAGGAGCAATACTGGCATGTAGCAATTTCCAACACAGCACTGGTTCTCCAGGAATGGGGCATTTGGCTGTCATCCCTGATGCAAGTTGACACGCTGACTTGGACGGAAGATAGTGGTGAATGAACAAGCATATCAAGGTGAAGATAGGATTCTAATGCCCTGCAATGAGCAGATTAAGTCCTAACCTCCTCACTATTCTGCCTAAAAGATCAACAGTGGCATGAATGAGAAACAGTGGGCTGTTGCATCCAATCCCAAAGCTGAATCCTTGCCTTGATTTCAACTTTATTCCCAAGGCACCACGCTGATATCAGCTTAGCTCCCAGCTAACCACACACCTCCCAACACCTCACTCCAGCCCCAGCCCCAGCCCCATATGCTTCCGAAGGAGCTAGGGACTGCCTCTTCCAGAATACTGGACTCCCCTGCCAGTTATGACCTGTCCTCCTCCAATGGACAGAGATCCTCATGACCTGTCAGAACTCTGAGGGCATTTAGAGATCTTCCCAAGGCCCTCAGCCAGTGGGTGACCAGGTGTCTCCTCCCAGCATCCAGAAGCAAGGCAGCTGTGTCTGGTTTCCTCTCCCAACTAAGGCTGTTGGAAGCTGACCCCGGGCCTCAGGTTAACTTTTCCCCAATGCAGGCATTATACTTGGCAAGGGCAGACAGAGAAGGGCTCTGGGTAGGTCCGTCTGTGACCACAAAGCTGCCAGGTTCTACTTGAGACACTGCTTGAGGAAAAGTATTGCACAGTGCTCAACCATCCAGCCTCTGCGAATCGTGGTTGGAAGGTGCATCTCCCCACCTGTCTGGGAATGTAGAACCAACCCCTGTGTATGTTTCCACCCATCTTGGGAGCCTATCTTGCTCTTAAATCTTAAAATTGGGCAAATGAGGCGCTCTACCCTCATCATATTAAAAGTCCTTTCATCCTCTATTTACTAATCACCAAAAGATTTGCCCACGAAAGTAAACTCTCAAGGATGAG